GGATGGCCACGCCACAATCCCTTCTCCTCCATTCTCCTCTTGGGATTTTGGGCACACATGCACATGTGCTCCATGTGAGTTTTAAGCCCCTGGATCCAGGACTCGAACCACAGTTGACTACATGGGAGTTCAGCTACATAATAACCATTTTGCCATCTGCTGGTCCCACAACTGTCTTTTGAAAATTCAGAAACATCTATCTTTTGTTCCTCTGATATTTTCAGTGCAGTGTTAAAAGTCACCTTTCCAAATATTCTTTAATTATCCTATAGTGCTCTACACACCAATCACCACGCTTTGGAAAGGTGGCACCCACCCCGAAGAGTCAAGTCCCTGAGAGATGTGCAGCCATCTCGGTGACCGTGACTTTGCACGGGAAATGCTCAAACAGAGGCGCTAACGAGGTGCTACGGCAGCGGAGCAGAGCTGGCCTCCTGGGCCATGGGCCTGTTAGGCAAAGCAAGAAGGGGAAGGGCGTGCGGCAAAGGTGCCGGGATAAGCACCCGTGTTCGAGAGGTCAGACGGGCCCAGAGTGCAGGATGGGGGTCGCTGAAGGGAGGGGGGGCTGGAGAGGAAGGGGAGGTGGGTTAGTGATACAAATTCCAATTTTATTCTAAGGGAAGTGGCAGATATGAGAGAAGTCAGAATCCAGATTTATACTTTAAAAAGCTACTTCTCTCATGGAAAAGGTAAACAGATAAACTTTTCAAAAAAGATAATCATCAGAACTACGTGGCCAAAGTTTCCCATTTGTCTTCCAGAGGTGAAGTACTTGAAAAATACATTTATTCTGTATTAAATCTATTCAGAAATCTGTTTTAAAAAGGTTTTAAAATTTCTGGTTTCCATGAGACAGACAGAGAGACAGAGAGACAGAGAGACAGGCACCCTCAACAGGGTCCTTGTGCCGTGATCCATGCTGTCTCAGCAGGTCGGGTTACAGTCCCGCACGTGTGACTGACGTGCTCACGGAGGTCCTGGGACCTGAACCCAAGACCTTCCCTGTGAGAGGCCAGTTGCATCACTGCTGCACCAGTGCCTGGCTGGGAAAAGTCTCATGTGTTACAGTCTACTGGATGGGACTAAACCCACTTCCCAAAGTCATTGAAAAGAACATGAGAAGTTCACGTAAACACAGAGCAAAGGGACGGGTAGGAAAATGGACACAGCACAGACGTAACATGCTATGTATGTATATATTTTATCTACGTAAAATGTAAACTTAGCTAGTTTGGGAACTGATTTCTAGAAGTCTATTTTGCTCTCCAGGTGAGATAATCCTCACTTCCCAATAAAGAACGGACCACTATTATCTTAACTGCGTTCCTATCTCAATATCACACATCCAGGCCAATATTAAGAGTTACATGAAACTCTGCTTACCTTCAGCTGCCCAATTTCTTTAAATTTATAAACTTCATATTCCCAGAGGGCTGCATTTTTCCCAAGAATTTTCTGACACTTGCTGGGGAAAAAACATCCCAAGAAGAAAGAAAGTATAAATAAAATAATAATAAACAGACAGGATATTTTCCCTAGTGGTCAAGATAAATCTCTCTTCCCAGAGTTTTGACAAATTTCTATCTCAAGTGCCAATGCACATCAAGATATCACTGCTACTCACTTGCCTGCACACACAGGTTGACAGAAATCATGAAAATTAATACAAAATAGTTATAAATAAATCTATCTTTTTCAGAAGACTATGAGTTCAGACATTTTCCCAAGGATATTCTTGTTGTGAGTGTCTTCTCTATCCAGATGAGCACTGCTGGTGTGGGGATCCTTCTTGCCTTGAGGACTCAACATACTCACAAGTGCCAAGCCCTTCCTGAATGGCCTTCAGTAACAGACTACAAACTTGGGCCTCTGAAGATTAGAATCCTACCAGAGTATATAATCTGGAGATCTATTTACGTATGAATGCAACCTTACTTTACAAATAAAAGAAATACTTTCTTAAATAATCTCAGAGGACTGGGCCAGTCCTGTAGCCCCAGTGGTTAAGGGAGCCAGATCCCACGTGGCTGACCACATAATGGCTTGAGAAACACGCTGGGCATGTGCATACCAAGATTCCCGACAGGATGGAGAAATGGAGGGGAAGGAATTGTGGAGTGACCAAGCCCCACTGGGAGCTGCTGCCCCCACCATCTCTCTCTGGCGAGTGTGTGTACCCTCTGGCAAATAAGAAAACAAACATATCATCTCAGGGGACTAAAAGGAGGCCTGAGGGCATCTTCCAGGGCTGCCACGTCCTGATGCAAAGGAACACTGCGCAGACCCAGCAGAGCCCCTCGACTGGCCCACGTGAAAACTACACGGCATCTGAGTTCTCTGCCCACCATAAGCCTTGCAGCCCAGGATATCCTGACATCTGATCACTTTCATTTACTTGCTATCCTCTTGCTAGAAAAACGATTCTCCTTGAATTGTGAGCACTTGGTTCTGGACGATCTTCCAAGGATGCTTGTAAAGCAACAGCTCTAGAAATAGAAGTCACAGATAGTGCCACCCTCCAGAGCAAAGGGCAGGCAGGCTCGCTATGGCATCCAGTGATGGTAATGTCTTCTGGGGCGAAGAACAGGCAAGCGTACTGCTCATCAGGAAAGATTCAGTTACTCTCACCTCAGAGTTTCTCTCCTCAAACACAACCCACTGCATGCCCTCGGCCTCTGACCTCTCTGTGGTGCTGTGGGAACTGGTGCCCGGGGGGAACTGGTGCCCGGGACAACTGCTGGTACTCTGGCTGCTGCTATTGCTGAGACAGTCCTTTAGCTCTGACCCAAGAGTCTCACGTCTTCTGCTAGTTCCCATGACACAGAGGCAGGTTAACTTGTTAGCTTAGAGACATGGTTAGATCTCAGACCCTTCATGGTTCCTGAAACTTTTCTCATCAGATGATGAGAAAAACAGTTTTCCTTGGGTAAAATGAGGCAGTAGCTGGGGAAATAATATACATTAATCTACACTGTGGCTGCAACTCTTAATATTCACAAATTACCTTGGTTAGAAAGACATAAAAAATGTCAACAGAAAACAAGGGTTTATCTTCATTGTTAACATTGGCCAATTCTATTTACATTACGACATCATTGAGGAAATGTCATTATTACCGTGCTGCTATGTCGTATTCGCCTCTTTCCACCAGGTGATTTATGTATGCCAAGCCAATATCCTGGGGAAAGCAAATGAAAGAACCACGTGACTCAGCCGGAGGGACTAAATGGGTGCGTCTCGCTTTCTGAGAAGGCCCTAACAGTGAGGTGCTGCTGACACTACCAGTGTAGCCAGTTTAAACATCTTCGTTTGCTTGCTGCAATTATGTGTGCTTCTTCCTTAGGCATGTTCACATTTAAATGAGCATATATATTTATTTTCATACATTTTAAATTCAGTTTCTTAAATAATGTCACATTTTAAAGGCTCCCGATTTGTCCCCTCTAAGAGATTTTTCAGCAAAAGAAACCTCCAATATTTAGAAACGTGATCTGATTGTTCTGTGCTATCACTGGATATACAATTCTGTTTCAGTCTTCATCATAAAATATGAGCTACCCATCTCCTCTAGGCCGAGTCTGAAAAATGTGTTGTAAGAAAACTGAAATGGTCCACCCCCACATTAAAGGGAAGTATGAATATTGAAGTTAATACTAAAGTAAAAATTAGCTCAGAAACCTGAAACTCAAGCCTCTACGTTTAGAGAGGAAGAGATGAGACCGAAGCAGGGAAAGCCTGCCTTCAGAGAGCTCACGGCGTTCACTGTTCCACCAGGGTTCTGAAAGGGGCCAGCGGCACAGAGGGGTGGGGAGACGGCCTGACCTCCCTGCGGCTCTTCCGTGATTTCCGCCTCACGCATTTTCATGAGAAGCGTAAACTCAGCCTGCTACTTGATGTACAAAAGGTGTATGTGAAATTTATCCCTGAATGGCAGAAACGGCAAAAGCCCGTTTCTTCTCTGCGCGCCTAGTATGGGATCGCGTGTGCTAGGAGGAAATTACCTCGCCCACTAGGAATGGATAGGGCGCGCCCACTCGGAGAGCGAGAACACACCTGGCTTTAGTTCATCAAGTTTTACTCTCACGACCACTCGGGGACCCCCTATTTCTAACCTATGAGAACTAGAGTGCAGAAAGGGTGCCTAACGTCCTTCCTTCTTTGAAGGGACCTCATATCACATCTATGGAGGGTTCTTCTGCTAACCCGTCCCTCTCACCTTCTAGTGTCCATGACCACAGAGAGGGGCGTGTCTACACTCATCCGCTTTCACTGCACACCCTCGACACCAGCCTGCTTCACCCGTCTTCCCCTTAAGAAAACACGTTCAAGTGTCTTGCACACAACACACCCCAAAACAATGACCACCACCACCCCATGGTGCCACAGCTCCCGGCCAGGCTTCATTCCCTTCTTCACCGCTAACCCGATAATCTATACTCGATGGCTTCATTGTCTCCTGCTCATTTTTCACTCCCTGTAACATGTTGAAAATAAATAATACATACATTGAAAATTCACTAGTTATTTTCAGTTCCCCACATCCAGCTGAGCTTGCGTGACCTTTCCGACTTGCTAACTTCAACTACATGGGCATTGAATTCTCCATCTGGAACGTTCTCCTCAGCTCCCATGACACAACCTTCCTCTGGCTGTTCCAAACCTGTTTTGTGAGCATCACACCTTGATGGCCAATGTCCGCCAGCGTGGCAGACTGGCTCCACTCACAGTCCTCTGTTCTCTGAAGTGAGCGTCTGCCCTGTAAGGGGCTGGTCCAAACTCACACACCGGACTGACAATCGTCTGCAGATACCTCTCCCAAATCTGTTTTCAAGTCCAATTTCTTTCCTGGGTTCCACCAAGACGTCCCATGGGCGCGCCTTAAATTTAATGTTGAAAACGAAATTCCTCATTTTCCGCACTCCCACGCCTTTCTCCATGGACTGGTGCCTGTCCATGTCCCCCTGAACGGCAGCACCATCCACTCAGAGGCCCAAGCCCAGACCCGGACAGTCGGTCCAGGTTTCTCTCTAGTCCACCCAGTTAGTGGCCGATCCTACGGACTCAGGTTCCCAGCACCCCCGTCTCTCTTCATCTCGCCTGTCCTACAGCTCTGGGCAGTCTCATGGCTTCCTGCCTAGATCACCAAGAGACCCCTGCTTGGTCTCCATCTCTGCTGGCCTCCCTCAGGTCCACACCTCCACCAGGGACTCCAACAGCGAAATCTGATGTGGCACTGAGACCTCTGGTTGTCTTCTAGAAGTTCCTAGACAGAACCAAGCTCCTCATGACAGACAGGTCTTCAGGACTTGGATGCTGCCCCCAACTGGCCCCTGACCAAGCAGAGCAAGCGGTCCCACTGCTCTGCAGCTTCACACATGCACTTCTAAGGCCTAAAGCGCCTCTGGAGAATCCTGCTTCTGCCCCACAATTTTGACTGTGAAAACCAATTATCTGGTTTCTTCCACTTTTATTCCTGAATTATTTTACAGGGCACTCTTTGGGAATTAAGGCTTTTATGTGGAGCTTTACAGAGGACTTTACAGTGGGAAAAGTGCAGGAAGAAGAATTCTGTACTGAAAAACAAACAGTCGTAAAGGACCAAGTTACTGGCTTCATCTGTAAAACAAGGATGCTGGGTTGGATGATCGCTAAGGACCCTTCACACAAAGGAAATGCTTTCTTTTCTGCTCTCCCTCTCCATGTCCACGTTCACAATTAGCTAAGAATGGGCTTTCAGTCTCTCTGTTTCCAGAGTCCACTATGTAATAAAATGTATTCCATGTCCTAGGTGAGTCTCCATAACAAAATCAATTGAGTCAGTTATTACAGAGACAACAAAGCAGTCTAGTTTTACAAAACCATTGTTCTGGTAACTTCGTAATGTGATTTTACCAACGATCTAAAGAGCCTTCCACACACACGACTTGCAAGATTTGTATTTAAAGTGCATTTCACAAATACAGTTTCCAAATTACCTAAAACTACCTCTTAGCAGGTGTTTGGGTCTCTTGTTTACAAACAGAAACGGATTTGATAAGACGAAATATTTTGACCTTAAAAGCTAGAGAATTAGCTCAACATAAATTCTCAAAAGATAAAAAGAACCTGTTCTTTGCAAATTTCTTTCAGTCTCGTTGAAAGGTAAAGTTATGTTTCAAATAATAAAACTGCACACTTACCAGAATCTTATGCCTTTTAATGTTCTTTTGGCTAATTTCAGCTGCCATCAGAGCTTCCTACATGTACATAAGCATGATAAAAGGGACAGAAGAGTAGAGAGAGGAGAACGGAGAGAATGGGGAGGAAAGATGCAGAGGTTACAAACACCATATTTATTATGTTTTAATGTTCTGAGCTACACTGAAAGAGCTCCATATCCCTGTGGCTGGTGCTTGAAGCACTGGAATTTCAATGTTATGGCTGAATGAACACCACTGAATTCAAACTCAAACAAAAGCAGTCAACCAAAATGAAGGCTTGCTTCTCTCATTTCCATCTGAATTTCCACATTAGGTTACTGGAATCACATTTCTGACACAAATCAAAGTACTACAAAAATCTCTCAGCCTCCAAACAAACAAAACAGCATCTGCCATTCTAAATCTATGAAACATATATTGCAAATGGGCACTTTTAGTTTCAATAGAAGGTAAATTATATGCATATGTTTATACATCTTAACAATTAAAAAACCTTTTTAGAAATTTTTGCTACAGGGTGTGTGTGCTTGCCAGAGAGAGAATGCAGGAAGCTACCCCAGGGGGATGGCTACACAGAAACCCCTTCTCTTCCCTTCTCCTCTTGGGATTCTGGGCACGCACACACATGTACCTGGCATGACTTTTAGGCCACCAGGTCCAGGATTTGAACCCCAGTCAACTACGTGGGAGTCCAGTGATGTAACCACTGTGCCATCTGCTGGTCCCAACAATTGATTTTTAAATCTCTGATTTTTTTTCATAAGTTTACAAGTATTACTTTAACGCAAACGTAAATTCTTTTCCTTTTTTATTACTTTTTAAATTTTGCCAGAGACATGCGAGCACCCTGGACACAACAAGAGAAGAAAGGGCGAGGGAAAGTGAGAAAGCATCCTCCATGGGGATGGTCAAGCCACAGTCCCTTCTCCTCCATCTCGCCTCCCTCTGGGATTTGGGGCATAGACACGCACATGCTGATGTGGCTCTTGAACCACTGGGTCTGGAACCACACAGTCAGCTAAGTGGGATCCAGCCTCCTTAACCACACCATGAGCTGGACCCGTCAAACTGCTTCTTTGAGAAATTGCTGAGTTGTGAACTAGGTATCAATAACTGGACTCTAAATAATTTATAAATTAAAAACTTTTTTTCTCCAAATCTTTGCAGGTAGCTTATACACTAAAAATGACCAACAAGTGGACCAGCAGGAGGCGTGGTAGGTTAAAGGCACTGGACTTCCACATGGCTGACCATGGTTCAAGTCCTAGACCTGGCACCTTGCTTTCTCATTTTCTCACTCTTTCTTGCTCTTGTCAAATTAAAAATAACAATAATGATAAATAAAAATAAAGAAAACAATTCATTTTAAATGACAAACAAGTGAACTATACGGTATTTTTAGCTGATTGGTTTACAAGCCCATCTACAGAATTTCTCTAACAATACATAATGCCTTTGCACCTAACGAAGTTGAAACATGTTTTCTTTCTTTCTTTCTTTCTTTTCTTTTTTTTGTTAAGTTGTTTTGGGGAATTACTCAAATTAGTCTAAACCAAGGCTCAGTGAAGTGGGCAATATCACTCTATCCCTAACCAGTAGTTCAAACCATCCTAAATAAGTATTCATTATAGCCTTACTTTCACAGATGAAATAAGCATAAAATGAATGATTTCACTAAAATAGCCAAATAGATAACTCTGAAATACCAGCACTATTTAAATTTCCATGAAAACAGAATCACAAAATAGAACAGTCTGGGTCGAACCTCTCCCTGCCTGCCCCCGCTCCCCCACTCACAGTAAGGCCGGTTAACCTCCTTGCGATCTTGTCCTCTGATTACTGGAAAGGTACTGGGAAGCTATTAGCTTCCTACATAGTTTGGCTTGGGGCACTCTAATTCTACTACATGAAAGATTTACTACAAAAACCTTTTATCCTTTCTATGTTGCAGACAAGTCAATACTTTCAAAAAAGTAAAATGAAAACTACTTCATATTTTTTCTTCTCAAGGAGCCAGTCGATGTGATCATCCTGGTCTCGCTCCTTGGCCACGACGACATCTCTTGGGCTCACGATGTAAAAGAGCGACTCCCCTTCCGAGTACTCTGCAGGTGAGACAGACGAGAGAACTGAGGAGGCTCGGCAGAAACCTGGCAGTGGTTTTGGGGGACCTGGTTCGGCCGATGAACTTAAGAGCAAGAATGTCTGACTCAGTTGGAAGGTAAGGTAAAGACGGAGTGGAGAAAGATAGAATATCTGTCAGTCCTTTTAAGAATATTTCAGTGTTAGACTAATTTTAAAAAACAAAGGAAGGGAGAAAAAGAGGAAGGAAATATGTGAGATCTTCCAAAAGTTGATGGAGATGCATATTCTGAAAAAAACTAGGCAGGGAATTAAAAATATTTTTGTATCCAAAGTAAATTTGTGTATATTTTTCCACTAAATTTTTTAAAGAGCCCTTATACTAAAACTTAAAATGAGTTGAAAATTCTTGTTTAATACATTAATATTCTGACTTCAGCTAAAAAAATAGTGTTCACAATTCTCGAAGTGAATTCCGTATTAGAATTCGTCTACTGTATATAACTTTATTTATGGCCATTTACAGGGCTGCTCTATCTTTACAGAACAATTACACCCACAGTCGGCGATAACTGTTTCCTCCTCATCAAGGTCAAGGCCATCTGAAGCATCAATGACAGACGCCCGAGCCCCGGGACATAATCTATCATTTCGGCATGTTGTGCACAATGCCAGGCGGGAGGGTTCCTGCAGAATTCAATTATAAAACCTGTTCTGAAGGGTTTCCAAGTGTGCAGCGGAGTTTGCTCTGAGCAAAATCCCTAGATTGGACACTTTGGGTTGTGAATCACAGTTGCTTTTGGCCAGGTCCAGAATACATGCTCCCGTTTCCAACTGATGAGGGGCTTTGGATAAGAAAGTTGGTAATTTCTTCATTTCCTTTGGCTAAAATAAGAACTGAAAATATTTGCCAAAAAAAAAAAAGTCACTTGTTTTAAAAAGGAGAATTTCTAAAGAGCTTACTGTTCTATTTTCATCAATGTACTTTACAAGGATATCACACCCAAACATAGACGTCCCTGGTGACACTCAACGGCAAGGGTTCTGCGTGTTTTTCTGAGTGGTGCCTAGTACGCTCACTCACCCACTCAGCAAGTGGCGACTAAATGCCTCACACGGACCAGGATTTCTCTAGGCCCTGAGCCCTTGCTTAAATGAACTTCTAGGTTATCCAAGAGCACACTGCCTAGGGACATAAAGTTGGGAGTAAAATGACAAGCACAGAGCCACACTGCTCAACACTAATGTAAGTGTCACGATTAATAGGACAATAGGAAAAAATACAAGAATGAAACTAAGAGGCTACTTCTCACTGGTGCTGGCCACATCTCTTCCCTCCTGTTGCTACCGTAGCTGGGGCAAGTTCTGCAATCCCGCAGGCCTGGCTGCCCTTCTCTGCAGCCTAAGTGGCCTGCCCAGACACTCTCCAAGGCCCTCTGGGCACCTCGGCTACAATTTCCTTTTGTTGAGTTCAGTGGAAGGGAAAAAATGTAAGTGGGAGAAATCACATAAGCCAGACTGTTGCTGCCTCTCACCTAAGTGGTAATCTCTACATTCGTTCTCTTGAAAGCCTCTCACTGTCAAAGCATCAGAAGAGATCTCCTCGCAAGTCTCCGAAAGTGGCTGGATGATGTCCAGTCGGGGCCTGGCACAGTATTCTCTTTCCTAAAGGGAAAAAGAGAGGGAAAGACTTATTTTAATTACGTTTCTTTTTTGTTTTAAGGTTTTTGCCACAGGGTGCGTGTGTGGCAGAGACAAACAGAGAGACAGGGAGACGAAAAGTGAGAAATCATGCCCCAAGGATGGCCATGCTGAAGCCCTTCTTCTCTGTTCTCCTCCTGGGATGTTGGGCATGCACATGCAGCTGGTGTGATTTTTAAGCCACGAGGTCCAAGACCCGAACCACGGCCAGCCATGTGTGAGTCTAGCACCTTAACTATCAGGTCGCCTGCTGGGTCCCAGCTACATTTCTTTTAAGTTATACAAATTAATTCCAGTTAGCCATAGTGGTCTCGCCTTATCATTTTGGTACACACAGGTCTGTCTCACAGCCTGCTGCGGGCAGTCTCCTAACACTGTTCAATTTTCCTACCATCGTGTGGATAAACAGGACAGACGTGATCATTCATTTCAATTGAAGCTCATCCGCCTCCCAGGAGCGTGGGGGTCCAAGATGCAGACCTCGTGCTTGGACGATTTTATTACAGCTCTCCCACACAAATGTGAGGAAAGGTAAGAGGAGCGCCATTTATCCAAATTATTACCACCACTAGTCAACCAGTGGCAAAGCTGGAAAGTCAAAGACTGAGTCATCTCTAAATCAGAAATTGCTGAAATGCCAGAATGTTCTAGATCTGCACTACCCAATATGGCAGACACATTGTTAACACGGAGGGGACCAGCAGTTAGCATAATGGCTATGTCGCAGAACTCCCATGTAGTTGACCACAGTTCGAGTCCCGGACCCAGTGACTTAAAACTCACGCCGGGCACATGTGCGTGTGTACCCAAGTTCCTGAGAGGGGAATGGAGGAGCTGGGATTGCGGCGTGGCCAACCCCCCTGGAGGGTAATTTTTCACTTTCTGTCTCTCTCTGTCTCTCTGGCGAGCGTACAAGTCCTATAGCCAAAAACCTCTCCAAAAAAAAGAGTGTGAACACGGAGCACCTGCAAGCGCTCCACACGCCTAGCAGGCAACTGCACACAGGTCACGCTCGGAGTTCACAAACTGACCCTGTACAGTTAAGTCCTGTTGCTCCTAATTTTACAGGTGGGAACTGACGGTTGCAACATAAAGGCCGGATGGCGGGCCCTGCTCCAGCATGAAGCTCTGCAATGCTGAGGGTGCACGTCCCTGTACACACCAGGCATCCCGCGGTGCCTAGGACCGTGCTGGCTGAGACTGGGCTGGGTCACAGCGGGAAGACACTTTTGGGGGCACCTGGCTCTATTTCTTTCTCTGTTTCTTGCTCATGGAAGAAATAAACTTTTTAAAAAAGTTAACTAAGGTTAAAGTAACATAAATAAATGGTTGAAATTATATAAATAAATGGTAAGGCCATAAAAATCGGATTGATAGTGAATCATGAAGTTAAAAATCAAATCTGTTTATTTTAAAGTTGACGTTTTTAAATAGTCAGCACATAGGCATAAAACAGACACTTAAATTCATTTCCCAAAGCAACAACTAACGCAGTGTGATGCTGGCACAGAGAAGACAATGTGAAAGGGACAGAAAAGGAAAAGTAAACCAGCACTACACCCAACTTCCCGAAATAAATCAGTAAGCCTAGATTTCTTTAACCAATCTTGTCAGGTTAACAGAGTAGCAATTACATTAGCTCTGTAGCTCAGACACTGAAAACATTCCAAAAATAAAGTAGCAACTATAAACAAATCAAGTAGAGAAAAACTAGAAGAGAAAAAAACTAATGAGCACACATCTTAATGTATCATATCTATGGGAAAATGAGAATCCTCTCAAACTTACAGTAATGGAAAGGAAAAATGGAAGAAGAAATTAAAAATAAAAATTTGATCATTAAAAATAGTGAAGGCTTATAACAAGGACAGGAATACATCAAAACCTAAATAGCAAAATAGAAAAAAATATTTGAAGAAAACTACCTTAGTAGACCATATAAAAAGCTCCTTTAGGGGCCAACGGTTAGGTCATTGGACTGCCACATGGCCGACCTCAGTTCGAGTCCCAGACTCAGTGGCTTAAAACTCAGGCCAGGCACATGTGCCTGTGTGCCTAAGATCCCAGGAGCAGAAGGGATTGCAGAGTAGCTCTCCCCGTGGAGATGATTTCTCACTTTCCCTCTCACTGTCTCTGCTTCTCTCTCTGCTGAGAGTATATGCCCTATGACAAAAACAAGAACAAAATAACTCCTTATATGTGGAAAGAACACATCAGCAATATAATTCATCTCATTTTAAATTTCCTTGTTACTTGACCAAACAGCCCCACTTATCTGTGATCCTCCTATGGGCAGGACTTCTGTCTTTTGATCTTTGGTCTTCAGTGCCTAGCACAATTTTAACATATGTGTACTTAAGAAAAGCAAAACACTGGGGGAATAGCTTAATAATTCGGAATCTTAACCAATAGTGTCCAACCACCGAGCTCGATGATGGAGACTACCAGCCTCTAGGGAGAGAATGGAAAGAGCTCATTAGACAGAGCAGCTCAGAGCAGCATGTGGCTATGACTGCGACGACGTGAAACATGTATGTATATGAAAGATAGCACATGGAAAATACCCGGGGGAGTAATAGGGAGTGATATGAAAGCAAATTTTACTTAATGCAGTTAAACTACCTTTTCAATATAAAGACAGAAAAGGGGGGAGGGGTAGCACAAGCTTACCTCTCTCTCCTGTTTATCTTAGTATTAGTTTATTTTGTGTTTAAGGATTTAAGGCATGCTTCTGTGTCATATAAAGTGAGTATCTATATATCTTGGCATATACATTTTCAAGACATCGCCAAAACCTTCATTTCTTCCTTGGGAAGAATTCCATTTTCTAATTTGTTCTATGAGACTGACCTTTTTTTCCCCCCCTTGGTTTTTTTTTTTTTTTTTTCCTTTCCAATCATGTCTTATTAACAAAGGTTTCCTTTCTTTCTTTCTTTTTTTTAGTTTGGTCAATTGTTTTATTAGGCTTTCCCCATTTTTCATCTTTCTGCTTCTTTCCTTATTTCTTTCAATCACATTCCCAAGCCTCCCCGCATTTCTCATCAAAAAGTCCAATACTCTCTCTTATTAACAAAGGTTTCCTTTCTTTCTTTCTTTTTTTTAGTTTGGTCAATTGTTTTATTAGGCTTTCCCCATTTTTCATCTTTCTGCTTCTTTCCTTATTTCTTTCAATCACATTCCCAAGCCTCCCCGCATTTCTCATCAAAAAGCACTGTATTTACTCCCTTGGGAGCCACTGCTTCCCTTTATTTTCGAAAAATAAATAAAATAATAATAAACTGATGTCCTGCAATAGGGCTAGAAGCCAGTCCTATTGATTTTAGCAGGTCTGAGTGTTCACTTAAGCCTACAGCGTTTCATTGCTTAGCAACATGGGCACCCGGAGCTTCAGGTTACTATAGTGATGGCTTCCTAACGCAAGTGCTCGCTCAGAGGCTGCTGGAGAGCAGCTACCACTTCAAAAACAGGGCTCCCAGGGTTTCTCTCCTCCATTTTATTCCTTGCCAATCGAAAAGAAAAAGAAAAAGAAAAACAAAAAAAGAAATGGATAAGAAGACCAAGCCCACTTACGAACTTACTGTAAAGGGCTGGACAAACAACTGTAATTTTTTTTATACATAATATCCAAAAGAAATTGCTTTACAATAAGCTCTTCTGCTTGATTCCTTGAAGCCTCGACTCCCTTCCTGGCAGGACTGCCAGACTGAACAACAGAGGGGTGGCGAGCAGGCTGCCCTGGGCCTCAAAGGGACACTCAGGGTGCACACCCTCCACGGGACCACACAGGTGGGCCTCAGTCCAAAGTCACGGGGAACAGAATGTATGCCATCTGCGACTTTGTAACCACACAGTCCATGCACTACCCCTGGCACTGATCATGAGAGTCACAAACAATACATTTCAAAGCGACGAGCGGGCTACTTGGAATCATTAGGCCACCGGGAAGGAAACAAACACATGTGGGCCGCAGGAAATCATGAACTGCCCTTTCCATAATTCCCTCCGCCCATGGGGACCCCTGCTGCTGCGGCCGACCCACTTCACTGCTGTCACTCCTGCTTAGTTTCTTCACCTTTCAGCAAGAGGAGTCCTTCATTCCTTTCAACAAAAATACCAAGACAGATTTTAAAAAGAGAGAGAGAAAGAAAAAAATGAGTCTCTTCTTTGCTGGGCAAAAGGCACAAAGACAGGCAAAGAGCAGAGCCTGGGAGGGAAGGGTGCCAATGTTGGGTCTCCAGGGCAACTGCTGCCAAGCCGACCTCACCGGCCAGGGCCCAGGGAGTGATTCTACTAGACTCCTGCCAAGGGCAACCTGATCTGGGAGCTGTGAGGCCAACGAAGCCCTGCACGCCTGTGCTTGGGGAGAAGGTAATTACCGTTTTTTCCGAAACCTCCTTTACGTAGGAAAGTATGACGAGCTGGTCACAGAGAGGGGCGAGCCCGCTGATGTAGAATTCAGTTTCAAATTGAGACACTGCGGAGAGAGAGACAGGGTTCACCGTTAACAGGGGCAAAAAGCAGCATACCGTCAGGGACGCACGGACAGGCGTGCTGGCAGGACCGTCTGAAAAAGTCTGAAAAAGCCAGTGTTACAGGAGCACAGGCGAGCGCCCTCCACAATCGCACACCACGACCATCGGGCCTGGAGGAGGGTGAGTGGGAACTTGGACTTGAAAACACCCATCACAGGCCAACTGAATCCAAGAGAAACAGCCACATGAGGGGTCAAATGTGGCGCTGGGACGCGGTTAAACCACACACGGCCAGTTCAAGCCCTAAACCAGCTCCTAAACCCAGTGTCAACTATTCTAACTAAAAACAGCACTTTTCCCCATGTCTGCTCTTAAGGTTTTCACAACGAGGACACCACAGTAGTGTACAGGTCACAGGGACATTATTTGTAATTATAAAACACTATTTTTTGGGTATGAAATTTTAAAGACCTTAAAAATTATTTCCTGAAAGGTGAATAAATATAATTATGATAAAGCACCACTATTTCTTATGTGAAATAAAGGTCAGAGAAAGATAATTTTCTTTCATTTTTAAGAATAGTCTAGGGGACAGCTGATGGTGTAGTAGTTATGTTGCTGGACTCCCACATGGCCGATGGTGGCTTGAGTCCCAGACAAGGTGGCTTGAAACTCACGCCAGATGGATGTGCGTGCCCAAGATCCTGGGAAAACGGAGGAGGAATTGCGGCGTGGCCACCCCATGCGGTGATTTCTCACCCGTCTCACTGTCACTGTTAGTATTACTCATCTTTGCTGTCATTTTGTTTCTTTTTGAGAGAGATTTTTGTGATAGGGTGTGTGCACTGCTAGAGAGGCAGAGACAGAGACAGAGAGACAGAAAGTGAGAAATCACCCCCCAGGGGGAGCAGCCACACCACAATCCCTTTTCTTCCATTCTCCTCTAGAGATCTGGGCATGCACGCTCACATGCCTGGGGTGAGTTTCAAGCCGCTGGGTCCAGGACTCAAACTGCAGCCGACCACACAGAAGTCCAGCACCTTAACTACTATACTACCTGCTTCCCCATTTTTACTGAGCTTTAATGCTTCTCCGGAAATAACTGTTTTCCCACTCTATGCACACCAAAGTAAAATGGAAGGCACCAAAAACACCATTCAGTAGCAACATAAGGTTTAAAGAAGATAGTATTTTTCATGTTTTGACCTTGGTTAGACTGCACAGGTGGTCACGCCCTGCAGAGAGCCACCGACTGGAAGTCCAGGGGCAGATCTCTGATACCAGCTCTGTCATTAATACATCTTTTCTAAACCTCTGCAGGCTTGAGCTGAATATTTTTACCCAAGCATGTAGAAAAACATAGCACTGATAAAGTGGTAATGTGATAAATGTCCACCAATGAGAATATACAGGAAAGCACTCAACCACATAGGTTGAGAAGAATCCTTGCAGAACAGCCAGGTTGGAGAAGATCCCAGAGATGCTCACGGAGCTGTGTATGCAGGGGCTGGGGTGGGGATGGGGCAGTGCTGAAATGTACAGATGCTACTGAACAGTATGGGGCCACACAGAAAAGTTGGCAATGTCCCCTTCTTGAAGACACGCAGGCATAACAACAAGAGGTTTGGTGCCATCGCAGCTGAAGTTGCTAAATTCTGATTGGTAGAAATGCACTTGAGTTGTGTTTTACTAAGTAACAACTTGTCAAAGAAATGCTACACACAGCTCCCTTATAAGAACTTGGGTACAGAAGCAGGAGGTGCCACAAAGAATGTTCTCCTGGGAACCCTGGGAGGCTCTGCTCTGTTTGTCTGCCACAGGTGCTCAAGGGAAAACACCACCTGGTCCCTAGAGAACTGGCGGGTGCACACGGTATTCTCCTGGGTGGGACGCCCAAGAGCTGCCCAACTAGGCTCTATGTCGGGCAGCGTCAGACCAGCGCCTCCCTTAGAGGCAACAAAACGTACAGGAAGGGTGTGGCTTTTATGAGCAAGCTGTTAGAGAAACAGAACAGTGCAGCTTAAAAACAATCTATCCAAATCTTTCCTCCTCTACACCAGGATTCTCCAATTCATAACAGCATGCAGGAAAACGAAAATTTCCTATTCTCTAATTACAAACATGATAGAAACTAGTGGGAAATTAATGTGTTCTTCGAGACTGGACGAGGAGAGATTGCAGTTGCATACATTTCCTGATACTGCAATAAATACTTGTTAAGTTCTAAATCTTACCGGATTGAATTAAATGGCAATTAGAAAGAACTTAGAGAGTACATGCAATGGCTAAATTACAAACTGACAAAAAAAAATGTTACTTATAGAGGGAAGTCCTAGTACACAAAAATAAAGTTACCAAGATCTCCATAGGCACAGTTAAGCAAGTTGCTAACATTCAGATAAAACTGGAATTTGACCACTTTCTTCCTGTTAAACAGTTTCCTCGGGAGCAGCAGACGGTGCATGATTTTAATTTGGAGGTTTAAGTTTTGTTTCTTCAGTTTTAAGATATCTTTGACTTATTTTACGTTTTTCTTCGAGGACTCTGTCTTTGCAGACTGAATCATCCTTCCCTGGCATCAGTATCTCACTTACCTTATCTTTTCCTTATTACTTTAGCATTTTAAAAACGTCCTCCTACTACTCTTACGGCATTGCTGCGTGTCCCCATGCTCGTGTCCTCGTTTAGTCTTGACTTCTGAAATGTGCTTTTATGTTAAGTATTTCCTGAGGCCTGTCACCTACCTCATTGGAGATCTTTAAATTCTGATTTCTGATGCTTATTCATGCTTTACATCACTTTCTGAAGAGGTCTGCTAGCTTGTTCTGATATAGGGTATCCCAGTCCTGATCTGTTTGCTGTGTGTCTTTCTGGTGTGTGTCGCCAGCGATGTTAGTCCGTCCCTTAACTGTTCTTTCTTCAAGTTTGGTACCGGGAGCTTGTTTTCCAGTGAAATCACTGGCCCGAGCCCTGGGAAGGAGGCAGGGGTCGGACAGCTTTTGAACATCTGAGCTCTCTTCTGCCATTTTCGTCAGGTGTGAAGTCTGTGCTCGCGTCTGCAGTGTCCAGGCCTGCTCCTCTTCCCCTTTCATCCTGACTCTCTTTCATTTCCTTACCCTGCTCAGGTTTGCTTCCACTCCCGGCAGTTTCTCCTCAGGGCTGCCCTGTGCTGGCAGGAAGTCCTGCCTGCTCAGCTGTGGGAGCCCACAGTGGCCGCCAGGCCCCAGCCCCACGCTCAGGCCCCTTGCCCACAGAGCAGCGTCCTCAGGGCAGCGTGCTCTGTCCTTTCCGGTGGACGCGGGCCGGCCGTGCTGGGTTCCCCGGCTCCGTCTGCCAGATGGCCCTTGCCGCCCTGCTCTCTCTCACGGATGCTGCACCACAGCAGGGCTGCGGCTGTCCGTGGCTTCTCCCATCCACTGTGCCTTGGGGTTCTCAGGGCTACTTTGCTCTCAGTTTGACTATGGGTTTTAGTTTTACAATAGCTGTTCTGTTTGTATGTGAGCATTCAGACAGACTGAAAAATTGTGTTACTACAGCCACCATCTTCCTGGAATCATACAACCACAAAGTATTCATGGATTGGCGTGACCCATCAACCTCCAACAGTCCAGGGCAGCGGGTCAGGGTTAGAGTCGCACACATGAACGACACTGGGTCACAGATGGGACATGCACTAGCAGTCGTGGACTGAACGCCGTGAATGAAACAGAAGTGAACCAGAAAGAGCTTCCTTGAGTGCAAAAATAGGGGTAGGCTAAAGCGAGAAGTAGTACTCAGCGAGAAGACGGCTTGCAAAGACGTGTGGGTGGGGTGGAAAGAGCAGCATCCACCACAACACCAACCCCTGGGGACTGGAACGGTGCCTGTAATAGGAGGGCAAGGACCTCATCTCATTTAGAAATGAAACCAAAAAGAGTAAAAACAAAAATGGAGACTAGAAGATGGTATAATGGCTATATTGCTGGCCTCCCAAGTTGGAGTCCCAGACCCGGCAGATTAGAACTCATGCAGGGTGTGCCTGCGCATGTGTGTACGTGCCCAAAATCCCGAGGGGAGAATGGAGAAGGGACTGCAGCATGGCCATCCCTCCGGGGGGTGATTTCTTGCCTCCTGCCTCTCCCTGTGTCTGTGGCGAGCGCACCTGCCCTATAGCAAAGGAAAAAACAAACAAACAAACAAACAAAAAACTCTAAAAAAATAAAAAGAGTCAATGTATCGCAAAAGAGAATGACGATTTTATTTAAATGAAAAGACCACCCTTCAACTAATTCACGAGGCTGCCTCACTTACTACTGTGCCTTGAGGAGCCGGACGGGGGCTGGCGGCAGTGAAACGTGACCTCCGGGGGAGGACTCCAGGTTCATGCTGGAGACCTCCTGGAGCAGGCCGGGCTCACCCTGTCCATTTTCTGGGGCTGGGATTGACAGGGCAAGGCCTTGGTGGGGACACAGTCTCTGTGCCTCCCTGTCTCTGCCTATCTCTCTCACTCATGAATGAAATAAATAAAATTAATAGAAAGAACAGCAGGGAAATAAACACATCTATAAACTTACAGAGAAAACCCGCGTCCTTAGAAGTGAAGGCGTTTAAGCTGATGTCCTTCACTATCAGTACATTCTGTCGTACACAGGGCTGTGGAGATAGTTTACTGAGAAACACGGTTAGGAAGGTATTAATCTCTTCAGAACAATCCAGTCAACCCTTATTTATATCTTTCCCCAAATTTTCCATGAATTAATTTTTATGAAATAAAATAATTGAGTCTCCTGACTTCAATAAAAAAGAAAAAGAACAATAAACCTTTTCCTTTCTCAGGGTACTAAGTCCGTCCTGCGGCTGTGACCATAGTTCCCGTGAACGCAGTCCCGGAGAGGCACTCACCCAAGGCCTCTCTGCGTCACAACTCTGCCATCCTTTCAGAGGGGCACTGAAGCTCGGACAGATTAAATAACTTGGCCAGTCACTTAAGGAGAAGGGAGCAGAATTGGGAAGCCATGAAAAA